TCTGTCTTGTACTAGATTCCCAGAAGCAGTAGCTTCCCCTCTGCCCTTATCCTGTTCTACAGTTTCTCTGCTCCTGGGCCGAGCTTGTGCCCAGCCCCTCTGAGTCAACCAGGCTGAAGTCTGCACGCTGCATCTGCAATCACATGGCCTCAGGCCTGCATCCCTCCACCCGCTGCTCAGCTGTGGGGACGCTTTTTGTTGTGGTTGAAGCGGTGAGGGATTTTCAGGATTGCCATTGTGGAATCCTTGGGGAGATAACTGAGGGGAGGGAAGAAGAAAAGCAAAGTCAAGAGAAAGAATAAATAGTGGATTCAAATCTACCAAACTTGGAGCTTGTATATAAGGGAAATTATTTCTAATTATTAAAATTTTGGCACATGTGCCACCAGAAAGAAAGGAAGTGGAAACAGCTCCTTTGAGAAGTGCTAGCTTATGTTTCTGTGATTTAACTGTTTCCCATAACAATATGCAGCTATTTTTAAAGCAGACGAATGAGTCATGGTATCCACACCAGCGATCCACTATGGTGACAGGAAGCATGTACTCCAGAGAAGGCAGGCTTGGATTTAACTAATGTCTTCAGCACTTAACAGCTCTGTGACTTGGAGCAAGTTACACATCATCTCTGTTTCCTTTTCCTCTGCTCTGTAATGGGTTGCTGGAGGGATAAAAATGATAATGAATGTATAGTCATTAGTGCAGTGTTCATCCATCCATGCCAGATTCTAATAGTAAGTACCACACCATGGTACTTACTATTAATTGCTATGTGTGCAGTAATTCTTAGTTGTTTGGTAGCAAACTCTTAAGGCTACAAGTTTTCCTCTGGTAACCCCTTTGGCTAGGACATAGTTTTGGTATGTAGTATTCTTGCTGTCATTGTCTTCAAGCAGATTTTTTTTTTTATTTTAAAGAGTAAAAGAAGACAACATAGCAATGGGGGAATTCACCGAATTACAGACAAAGTGGTAGGACATTATCAATGGTTGTTATTTTACCTATTGGTATCTTCAAGATAGTTTCTCAGGAAGGCTGATTTTAATCATGGATTTTTAAAAGTGTTTCTTTGGTGTGCATGTTACTTACGAGTGTGTATATGTGTGTGCCTGTATGTATGTTTTCAAATAGAAATTTTTCTATTTTTAAATCTTAGATGAATTATAGTAAAGTCAAGAAATGTGGATATGTCATTCTGCGCTTTTCTTTATAATCTAGTATAAATTAATTTTGTGAGTATCCTGTGTATATTTGAAAAGAGCTATATTTTTATATAAAACCAAACGTTAATTTTGTTACTCTAATACTGTATCATACATATATCCACAGACATATATTTGCATGCATGTATTTCTGTATCTATGTGAGATATGATTGAAATATATAATGTTTAAATTTTTAAAATTTATTACAATAAAAAGCACATTGCTCTTAATTCCCCAGAAAATAGTCATCTTCACTTTGTTGCTTTTTTAAAGGAATATAAAACTATTTATTGACCACCGCTCACCATTATTTACAATAGAGTAAACAGTATACAGTAGGATAACATTCTGACTACTACAAAGTTATTTTCCTGACTTCTGCTGAAACGTTAACCTGAATACTGAAAAGATTGAGCCTAGATGTAAGGAGCAAGTTGGGGTCAAGGAAAGCACGCAGGTCAATAATTTAGATTACAAGTTTGTTCACTCATTTATTCTAGCAGGTCCTAAACTGTGAACATCTCTAGCCACTCCATAGGTTTCCATAAGCCAAGTCTCAGACACCCACAAATCCTGACTTTGAGTACAGCTTTCAGCTTGTTGTAAAGGAACGGGTGTTGAGGAATCTTAATGTTCCCTTAATAAGTCTTCCTCAGCTAATTCAAACAGACTAGATTTTGACTAGTTACTTTATTTGGGTAGGGAAGTTGTTCATAATGGTAAGGATTTTTTTTTCCAGGAATTTTGTAAGTAAACTGCTGCATTTTTGTGATTAAAGACAGATACGGATTTTGATATGGCTGCTTTGAAAATATCCACTTTATTTTTTGGGGGGGGTTGGTTTTTGTTTTTTTTTTGGTTTTTCTCTGGTACTGGGAACCGAACTCACGACCTTGCGCTTGCTAGGCAAGCGCTTTGCCGCTGAGCTAAATCCCCAGCCCCTGAAAATATCCACTTTAAAACTGTCCAATTAACCACAGAATCATCTATTTAACTTGAAAGGTTATGGCTTCAGGAAAACTTTGTTTTGTTTGTTTGTTTTTCTTCCGGTACCAGGAATGGAACTCATGATCTTGTGCTTGCCAGGCAGGTGCTTTCCGCGGAGCTAAATCCCCAGCCCCTAAAGTTTTTGATTTAACTGGAAGTAGCTTATTTCTTAGGGTGCTCAGAATGATGACATCTCAAACATGGGCTTATCACCCCTAGTTTTGGGTTTTGGTGAATGTTTAAAAACAAAACAAAAAACATTTACATGAGTGTTTTATTTACACACACACACACATACACACACACACACAAACTCAGAATGGTCCTTAAGCATGTGAGCTAAAAATATGTCCTAATTTAGTCTGACTGTGGGCAATTTCTCCAACATTTAGAAAAGCAGAGGAAATATATCAGGTTATCAAGTGCTCTTTTCTGATAAAGGAAGCAACTGCAAAAACTTTTACTTGGTCAAAGTAACCAGCACTATTGATACAAAACCCAACAACTCCCCTAAATGCTACTTTCAAAACTAACATACTAAACTTGATTTTCATTAGAATGTTGTTTTTTTCACACTAGTAAATTAAAAACCAAGATGATAGGTAGATAGGTAGGTAGATAGATAGATAGATAGATAGATAGATAGATGATGTAAGTTATTGAGCTTCATCTTCTGGACAAGCATGCCAAGCTAGTCTCTCTTCATAAAAAGCAATTACAATTTGAGGACATTTCACATTTGCCTCTTTTGCCAGCACCAAGTCAACCTCATCTGAATCTTTCCACTTCATGAGAAACATCAGTTTCTCTACTCCTGTCTGTGGCACCAACTATTCGTTCAGGAACAAGACCTCCGGCAAAGCCTCTAGTTGTCAGCAGCTTCTCTTTTTTTCTTTGATTTGCTATCATCAGATTCACTGTCAGATAAAGATTTTCTTTTTGTACCATTTTTTCCTTTACTAGCTTTTTGAGAACTAAGAAATGCTCCAATTACTTCTGGACAATCTAAATTTTCTTCAGGTTCCCATGTACTGTCAGCATCTGTAAATCTCTTCCTCTTCAGAAAATACTCAACCTTCCCATTCACTGTACATCAGTCCCATACTGTTTTACCACAAATTCTTCAGGCTCTGCTTCTTTAACTTTTTTGCTTTTTCCATTTTGTTTCTTTCCCATTTTTTGCAGTATAGTTTATTGGAGGCCCTATTTTACTGCAGACTTTAAGAGCTATTATTCACCGCTTCAGATGCTTGTGTCACAGGTCCATGGTGTCTCGGCCTGTGTACCTGCAGCTCCACACACACCCAAGCGAAGGGACCTGTGTCCCCTTCACTTTGAACATGCTTAGCTTATCATCCTTGTCACTTTCTGACGCAGTTCTAGAAGTCATCTTTTGTGAGTGTCTTTAGTCTTGTTATTGTGGTTGCCTTGATATCCTGAACTGATTCAAAACATTTACCTTTCGTGGTCATTTTGAGTTTTGAGAAGAGCCAGAAGCTGCACAGTGCCAGATCCAGGGCAATAAGGTGGATGAAGACACGGTGTAAAGTTATGAGCCTGCTTTTCTGTTGGATGACACTTGGAAACAACGTTCAGCTTATTTTTTATCACACCTTCTAAAGGCGTGAAAGGGAATTTCCAAAACTACTTCACACAGTGGAAAGAACAATGGAATAAGTGTATTCTAACCAAGGGGTGATTAATGCAATGTGTCTTCTACTGTAACAAATTTTTAAATTTTAAATATTCACTATATATTTTGATCATACCTTAGATATACGGACATATATAAATTCCCAGAGACATGCCAAAGCCTTACCTTTCCTGAATTCACTTCATTCCTAGCAGCTTTTCATTCTGTATTTTGATGCAGTGTTCCTTCATATGTAGAAATTGGTAATTGTTGAATCTTTCTCCGTGAGCTAGGCTTTTCATTGATATCGATCACTCCTCTTTGGCTTACTCAATGTTTTCTGCCTTGAATTCTGCTTTTTGTCATTTCTTCTATCTGGCCCCACCTGTCTGGAGGGTATAGGATCAGTGCTTATAGAGGGTTGCTGGAAGGACATGTGATCTGCTATTCATCCATATCTCCAGACGAGGGTGACCCTGAAGCCTACCGGTCACTGTAGAGCTGTGTAGGGGCTCAGGCTGCATAGACGATCCTACCTCCGCCCCCAGCTGCATTCCCGCCAGCTCATGGCTTGTCTGACATAGCCATGTTTTTGCATCACGCCTTATTTTCTTTTTAAGCACCCTCTGGAAGATTCTGTCTTGCTTTAATTCTTTCTACTGAGGACAGTTCCATTTTTTATTTCTTCTTTGCGCCTTACTTTATGATATATTTGTGTGTACATGCGTGCTTGTGTATGTGTGTGGACAGATAGACAAGTAAATACACCAATAACTAAGTGAATAAATAAAGACAGAATTCAGCCTAAAGGTGTTCTCTTGGGCATGACTCCTTTAGACCTATTAAACTTTGTTGGTTGGTTAAAAAAAAAAAAAAAGCATTAGGTCGCTCATGTCCTGTTATTTTCCATCGGAGTTACAGTAAAAAGCCTTGCTGGAGATTGAATGAACTAGAAATGCTAAAATCTGCCAGCATCTATTTGGGTTGTTGCTCAGATGTTTGATTTACAGTTGAGCATTCTGCGTAAAAACTGAGAGCTAGAGGGATTAAAGTCCAAAGAATACCTTAAGTTTCCATCAGCACACTTTATGCCTTCACACGGAGCAGGGCTCTTTCCACTCTTTTGTTTTGATTAGTGGTAAGCTCCTACCATAATTAAATCTCTTCTTTAATTTTAGGGATCTATCTTCTGGACTTAATCTACATTGATTCTGCATATCCTGCCTCAGGCAGTATTATGGAAAACGAACAAAGGTCCAATCAGATGAACAATATTCTCCGAATAATTGCTGATTTACAAGTTTCCTGCAGCTACGGTTAGTGCCCTTGGTTGTTGGAATTGTGACGTCTTGCATTACTGAAATGTAGATTCAGCACTTTTATCAGTAAGAAAGCTTCAAGAAACCAGGTAGTCCCTGCAAAGCTCTTGATTTTAATATCATTTAATATCTCAGGTTTTAATATCAAACATATGCTAGATCCTTTACACATAGGTTTGATTTTCAAAGACTGTGCAGACTGCATGTGACTATAGCTGTATTACACATGAGGATAATGAGGCTGCGAACAGTTGAGTCATTGAGATCACACATCTAGTGAGTGGCAGAGCCAAGGTCTGCCCGGCTTGTTGGTCACTTCTTCACAAAACAGGTTCCGGGACCAGGTTCTTTCTGTTTGTGGCTCCACCATCTTCCACGGCCTCAGTTCTCCACTGGACTCTGCATGCAGCTGGCAGGTGCAGGAAGAGAGGAAAGCGTACAAGGGTGGGTTTTATATGCCAGACCTGCAAGTGTATACATCACTTCTGCCCACTGAGGCTAGGAATATAATCTAGTTGTGGGCCTAGATGGAAAGAGGAAATGATTTGGCAAATCACTGGCTGGGTTCTATTCCATATGGTAAGCTCCAGAGTGTGACAGTGACAGTGGGTGTGTGGCATGGATGGAGGAGAAGGTTATTACAAACAAATTCCAGGCACTGAGAAGTCAGGATGCTGGGTGGACCATTCACACAGACATGGATTTCATCCAAGAAGACAGTGGACGGCGGGGTGTAGAGCCTGCCGGTGAGCCAGATGCCCCAGTCCTTGTGAGTGAAAATGGAGGACCATGTGGCCAGGGAGGAGGCTGCAGTGAAGGGGGACAGGCAGTGGAGCTGCAAGAACGTGCCTCTGTGGAGCAGGGTTTTCACAGAGTGGTGAGGAACAACCTGTCCTACCTGTCACCCCCGAGAAGCCAGCGTGGGTTCACCCCAGGCAGTGCCCGCTCACCAGTGCCCCCAGTAGTGTGGCAGGGCACACAGACCAGGTCAGCTTTCTCCTGCAGGCACCTGAGTTCCCAGTGCGGGCCTTGCCTCTTGCCTGCCCATGAGTCTCCACTCACACTGTCTGGCAGAGCAGTCACAGACACGGCCCTGGGACTCAGACAGACTCAGGTTCAAGTCTCAGTGCTGCCTCTTGGAGAGTCACCTTCTCCGCTAAATTTGCTTATGCTTGAAACGGGGCTGTGGTGTGTACAGAGCCTTTGCCACTGTTATCGTCACCTGCACCATTGTCATCAGCTTAGAAAGCTCATGTCACTATCCACAGTTCAGAAACGAGAACACAAGCTGTAGAAAAGCAAGGTGACTTCAAAATCTCCCAACCAAGGAGCAGAGAGTCTTCAAGGGCTCCGGCAGCCTGGATGAGGGGCCTCCCCATCCGCCTCTCTATTCCTTTTCCCTCCTCCACTCCCACATCACTCTGCTTGATGTGTCTGTCCCACCGCACCGTCCTCTCAGGAGGAGCAAAGGGAGCAGGAAGGTCTGTGGAGAGCAACTGACCTCAGTCACTCCAAGGAAGAGAGGGGAGGAGCACAGTATGGCACAAGCCTCAGGTGGCCTGGGCTCAAACCCCGGCTCTGCCACTTCTCCAGTATGCAACTTTTGCAAGTTCCCTGTTTCTTACTATGTGCATTGGGGGTATCAGTTCTCTTACGTAAGGTAGGAGTAATGGTTAGAATAGACCGATCCATAAGTCACCTGGCGCAGAGCCAGGCTCGCCTGAGCCCCTCCCTTTCCATCCAGGACTCAGCAGCTCTAGCTGTGTGCTGGCATCTGGCTGGGCTTACACACCCAGGTAGGTGGCTCTTGTTCATGCCACACAGGCAGCGAGCAGGTGTGGGAGACTTGGCTAGTGCCCCCAGTGGAAACCTCTTTGGGATCCAACTCCATTTCTGGTCTGTTCTGGCGACCAGGGTGCCATCTTCCCCAGCCCTTGCTTTCTGAGTGGAAGTCTCTGCTTTCCTTTCTGGACAAAGAACCGTAGTAGCCTCAGAGGGTAGTGTCTGGCTCAGACATTTGGGGCCATTCCTCAAGAGCAGAGCCAGGCCTGGCCACCCCAGCATAGGGCCCAACCCCAGAGCGCACCAGGAGCTCATAGAAGAGCGAGTGAGCCTCAGCATCCAAGGAACAGCTAGGTCAGTGGCTCCCGTGCTGCTCCTTGGGCCTGGAGAGGGGAGTACTGAAACCTCTGGGTCTTGTCCACCTCTTGCAGATCACCTCACCACTCTGCCCCATGTGCAGAAGTACTTGAAATCCGTACGCTACATTGAGGAGCTCCAGAAGTTTGTGGAAGATGACAACTACAAGTAAGTCCCCCCAACTCCCAAGTCAGGTGTGGCCGCCCACTGTTGTCCTCAGTGCTTAGGTCCTTGCACAGGCCTGGTCCTTGTTGCCTCCCATGCCCCAGCATCCACAGCAGTGCACGCAGTGGGATCTCCCATGTCTTCCCCCCCAACATTGGTGCTGTCTGCCCATCCCCCCACATCCACCTCCACCCCAGCCCCCTGCACCCCATAGTTTGAGGAATGGTACATTTATGAAGCCTGAGGATGGGGGCAGGGGGTCCACAGCTGTGCGTGGTGCAAGCTTGGCACTTTAGTTCTAGTAAGCAGTTCCCTCATGCATGGCACTGGGAGGAAGGTCAGCTCTCTGGCCATCCTTAGGCCAATGAGCAGAGTTCTCCAAGATCCAATGTCATGGATGGCACAGTCCCCTGTGGCTCTCAGCATCCTGTAGGACTCACACCAGCCAAGACCCCAGCAACAGCCCTGTGAAAACCCTTTGGGTACACTTACTGCCCAAAAAGACCTCTCAGCCCTTAGGCTCATCTTGCATTTACCTGCTCTGGTTTTTGGTTCTTTCCTCATTGGTAGCTTGTGGGAATGTATCCAGCATTTTTGTATTTGGAGATGAATTTCTTATGTCAACCTTGTGTGCTGCAGTTGTCTGGATGTCCTCTTGGCTTATTTTGAACTTGAGGCCCACTAAGAGCCTCAGTACTTCTTCATACAATCTGATTTCAAGGCCACTGTCAGCCACCTGGTAATTGATCATTTGCCACCTAAATGTCAGCTTTACAGATACTCATTTAAACCATATCTTACTGGTTGCCTTCAGTATACCATGATTTCTTTCAATCTTGTTATCTGGGATGTGTTTTAAAAGGGTTTTTTTTCCACTTTTGGATCTACTAATTTGATCTTCCTGATTATTTGGTATCCATCTAAGTCAGTAAAACTTTAAAGAACTGTGACCACTAGAGCCACTCACTAGGATCTTGGGAACAGCTGTTCCAACGCCCCTCTCCAGTCAGCGCTGCTGGAATGGTTTGCAGCCCTGGCTGGGAATCAGAACCACCCAGAACACTTGCTAACCATCCAGATGTCTGGGGCAGGGCCTAGAGATGTGTCTGCTTTCAGAGATCTCTATGTGTTTCTAATGATCTTTGGGAGTGTAGACATGTGCTATTATTGTAAAATAACCAGTTAAAATAAAAAATATGAGATTGTGATCTGTTATGTAGTAGTAGCAAGAATGGAGGAAGCCCACAGATTACCATTAAAATTACGTTTATCACAAATTGAGTTCATTTTATTTACAAAGCATTTGCTTTTCCTGAAAAGAGTAGCCTAAAGTACAAAATTATTCCCACTTAGGTTCTAGGATAATATTTTCCATCCCTGTGCCAAGCTTTTGATTAAAGAGGCAGTACTTTTTCATTAGCACTAATGTGCTTTAAGGAGAAAAATGATCTATAAATACTGACCATGAGGCAATCCTCGGACAAGCTGCAGATTGTAGTTACTCCTATTCTGAAGGACATTAAGCACTCCTAGGACTCGATGCTAAAGGACAGTCAGCCCAGGGCTTACAACGGGCCTTTGTTGCAGACAAAGTATGTATGTGTGTTTGGGGGAGGGGATGCTGCATTCTCACCCCAGCACTAACCTCTGACTGTGCAACATCAAGAGCTCACTTCCCAGGAGGTCGTCACGCTGAGCGACAAGAGGCAGGCAGGACCTGTGATTGTGCAGGGGGAGCGTCCCTCTGCAGCCAGCTCACACCTGGCAACCGGCTCCTCACCCCCGAGGATGCAGCAGCTTTACTAGGGCACTGATGACACTGTATTCCTAACACCTGCCCCCATCTGCTTTGAACTATTGCACCAAGAAGCCCAATAAGTGCTCTTTATTGCTCGGCCTTTAGTCTAAGTTATTGATTTGAGAAAAAGGACCCAAATTCCCACCACCTAGAAAGTTGATCATTAGCATAAAACATTTATACATACATAGAGAAGGATGAATATCTGGATGGATGCAAAATGGAATTTATTAAAGTTGGATTGTACAATGCTTGCTATTTTTACTTAAAAGTATTAATTTTAATTCAACCAGAAAAAGGAACTGAAATAAAAGCTAAGGAATTTCTGCTCTTTAAATAAATATTGCTTTGCTACAAGAGATATTATTTCTCAAAAGAGCCTCCTAGGATTCATAAAAGGGGTCAGGAAAAACATGGAGCGCCTGAGTCAGGAAGTTTTCTGTAAGTCCATTTCTGCTGCGGACAGTATCAGTTGGCTCTGGTTATGAAAGATGAGACTATTACCCCTGCCCCCTGCTTCACCTCTGCCTCACCCTCTTCTAGTTTTTTGTTAGTTGTATTATTATTGGACCACATAACCCAAGTTTATAACATAAACATCGTGTTCAGGAATCATAATTCCTACTGTTTAGTATTTTTAAACGGATAAAATTCTTACCACCTGTTGTTCTTCCACAGTGTCTCCTGGAGTCTTTATTCTAAATCAATCCCTTATTTAGCTGGATTTCATCAAAAGCAGGGCCCTCCCCACCCCCCTCCCCGTGCCTGCCTTGCCTGAGTCCTCCATGGTTGCAGCTGCATTTGTCAGGCCCGGCCTTGCTGGCTGCCCTCCTCAGCTCTCCCAGGCCTGCAGACCCTGAGCCATTGTCCCCTGGCATTGGGTGCTACTATAGTGAACGCTGAAGCCAGTCTGAGTTTCTCCCTCTGAAAGTGGCTTGTTTGGTCAGCCTGGTGGGTGAAGAGTTCCTTTCAAAAGCTCAAGAGGGAAGGTCCTCCACTGGACGGTTCTGCACCAGACCCTTCCTTTGCTGCCCAGGAGTGCCATTGGTTTGTGTCTTTCCCTTCTCCCTGCCATTTCTTGGCTTCTTTCTTCCAGACAGGCATGTGCTGGGTGATTTCTGCTCTCCTCTTCCATTAGTTCCTTTCTGACAGCTGTGATCACCTCCTCATCTTCAGTGGTGCCTGGCGATCTGTTTTCATTTAGGTATTCAGCCAGCATGCTCTTGTTTCAGTCTTTGATTTGGGGTACCCCCCAACGGCGGCCTCAGTGTCTTGTTTCATTTATTCCTTTGTTTCATCATCTTACTTTTCAGGTTTTGTTTTGCTCAGCCCATGTTCCTCACATGTCATTCCTCCACTCAAATCACTGGGGGGATTTCCTCTGTTCCCAGGCCTCCTTCTGGGATGGGTTCAGGGGCAGCCCTCTGTCCCTTTCTCTGTCTTTCTTTTGGGAGAGGAAGTGCTCTGTGCTGCTGGACCATTTCTTTTTGTTTTTGCTCCCATTTAGAAGACTCTTTCTGGATGCTTCCTGGCTCTCATACAGGGAGGGAGGCATCTGGCCATCCTTCCATGTGTGGATGGGGTTGCTTCCTCCTCCTGCTGCTGGGAGGCCCAGGGGTGCTTGGATTGCCCTTCTTCTGTAGCCGGGGAGGAGAGGGCTGGAGTCAGTAGACCCAGTAAGCGAGCAGTCTGCTTCATGCATGTGGACTCGGGTTTCCTTCACCTTGCTGGGCGCTGTCTCCCTTTCCACAAAGGGCTACCCTCAGTTCCCAGTCTTGCCCATGAAACCTTTATTTACGTCAGAGTGACCCTGCCCTGCCACTTGCTAGCCATGTGAATTTGGGGAAGGAATTTACTATTCCTCAGTCTCCTCATTTATAAAATGCACCTAGTTTATAGCCTCATCAGCCAAATTAACCCTTCCTGCTCAGTAAACCATAGGCCATGGTCAGTCACCTTTTTTTTTTTTTCTTTTTGTCTTCCTTAACCATTGTTTTTTCAGCATGGAAATCCCCTGGAGGCATCCAAGGAGGCAGCTGGGATGGGGGCACCCCGACTACTGCAGCCCTTAACACCTGTCCGTCTCCCAAACCTGACCATACACCTGTCAGTTCCCGTGTGATAAGCCAGCGCCCATCTGATCTTGTGACAATTTCCTTTTTCAGACTGTCGCTCAGAATAGAACCAGGAAGCAGCTCTCCAAGACTAGTCTCTTCCAAGGAAGATCTTGCAGGTATTGTAGCTACCTCGAGTGGGGGTAAAACCCGGAATAGCCCTGGGTGGGCCCTGCCCATGGAGCCGGAGAGCACAGCTGAGTGTGCAACACAGTAACTCGCCTGTCCTTGCTCGTGGCTCTCGTGCCTACCTGCCCGGCTCCTAAACTTGTGAGACCTCTGCAAAACACTTCTCTGCTAGGGCTTCCTAGAGCATCCTGGGCCAGAATAACCCCAAGAGTGCCATGTTAGGGTCCCAAGATGGGAACCAAAATGAAGTATAGAAAACCCCAAGGTCTTCAGGCCACTTGTACCCTTATTGTCAGGGGTGCACCAGACTTGGGGTTGTGTGCCACCAACACATGCACAGGATACCAGGGGTATTTGGTGCTACTAGATCCAAGTAGCTCATCTTCCTGGATTTATTCACCTGTTGGAGAAACACACATACACACACACACACACACTCACACACACATTCCCTAGTGACAAGACCCAGGCTCTGCAGTCAAGCCCAAGCTCTGCCATTTCCTAACTCTCTGATCTTCAAGCGCCTTGTCCACAGAATAGAACTAAGACTCTTACAGGGTGGCCATGATACCTGGTAAGTTCTGGCCTAGAAAGTGCTCCGCCCACATCAGCACATTGTAAAAGTGTGTTCAGCATTGGCCGCTTCATCATTATTATCACCGTGGCTCCTTTGTCCGTTGTCCAGCCAACTCTCAGTGACGGGGGCTGGCTGGGGAGAGGTGGGATGGGAACCAACAGCACCTCTTCCTGGCTTAAGCTCCAAGTCACACCAACCTGGGTTCAGCCACTTTAGACAAGTGTCTTTATTCTCCACCTCAGGCCTCAATTTTCTTATCTACAAAAAAGGAATAATAAAATCATCATCCCAGCAATGTTAAAATGTCAAAAATGAGTGCTGTTGGGAAGGTGCCCAGCACAGCCTGACATGCAGTGATTGGGAAGGGGTGGAAAGCCGCTACCCTGGGCCTGCCCAAGGCCGCCTCCATGCTTCCATGCTGGGATGTGTCCTGATGGATGAGGACCACGGAGCCTGCAGGAGGCAGTGCTGCAGCCTCCTGCAAGCCCCACCCTCAAAGCTTTTAGGGCCCCGAACTCGCTCCGGCTTCTTGTCTCTTCTATTTCCGCTAGCGGTGTCTTGCAAGTGGGACCCTGTGCCGGTGCCTGGGGCTCCTCTGGTAACTTGGAGAAGGAAACGCAGCTGTTCTTCAGAGCCTTAGGCAGTGCTGTTGTCCAAACTTAAGACAGAGTCAAGTTTGTGCTGAGCAGCTTGTTTTCCATGAGGCTTGCCTGAGCACAGTGTCGAAGTGTCTTCCACTGTCTCCATACCTGCTGCTGTTTCCTGATAGAATAGCAAGCAAGTGCTTCTAGTACTGATCCAGTCTCCACCTTCCTATCTCAGACCCTGTTCCAGGACCCTCCCCCAAGCAACTTATTCCTCCAGAATGCTCGGTAATGCATAGTCTGTCAGCAAAGTGTGCACAACGTACACCTCTATCATGGGGCTATTGTGGGAACTTACTGAGGCCACTTGTACAAAGCAAGTGGAGTCTGACCCGGAACACTCTCATCAGGTACAGCTTTGCCAGGATGGTGCTATGATTCTCAGTATTATGATTCAGCTTCTGTCCCTGGCTCAGCCTTCAGGTTTTAGCTAAATGTCACTGTCTCAAAAAGCCTTTCTACCAGCCACAGCCCCAGCCCCAGACCTAATCAGGCTCCATTTCACAGGGGCTGGCAAGCTCTGGGCCACATCCAGCCCACCCTGTTCCTGTATAGGACCAAACACAGCCACCCACCCACTGACGTACTATCTATGTTTGCTTTCATACTGCAATAGCAGGGTTGAGTGGTTGGGATAAAGACCAGGGGTCTGCAAAGCCTAAAGTAGTACTGTCAGGCTTCTTACAGAGACGTGCTGACCCCCGAGTGACAATCTCCTGCTGCCAGTGCTCTGTGCCACTGCTGTCTGCATGCACGGTATGTCCCTCAGTTAGCTGCATGCTCATATACCTCCAACCTATCTTTCCCACCAAAATAAAGGCCCCTGAGGGATGGGCCCAGTGTGGAATTTCCAGAGCCTAGTATATAGGGGCCCTGGACAAAAACCTGTGGTCACCTGCCTTGCCCCTTGGCCCTGGCCCCTGAGCACTTGCTGGGCCATGTGGGCACCTGCTCTTGGAGGCAGCTCCAGCGTGGGCCGGCTGCTGACTCTGCACAGCCTTCAGGAGAAATGCTGATGCCAGCAGCTTTCTACACGGGAGAGCAAGCCCCAGCTCACAGGAGTGTTTTCCACAAATTTTCAAATCACTGGCTTCAGCCTTGCAAGCAGGATGTTAAGATTTTCACTGATGGCCAGAAATCTGGGGAGTGTCCAAAGAGCTCAGACACTCTCAGTGGCCCTGGCTTCCTGCTTGCAGCCCCAGAGGACAGAGAGGTGAGTGCCACTGCAGCCTGGGGTCACCAGGGGTACTCTAGAGGGCAGAACCAGAGGGGAAGCTCCAGGGAGCATTCCTGGTCTGGCAGCTAGATTGAGCCACGTGGCAAGAGCCCGACCAGAGTCAAGGACAGGAATGTGCCTCTTACAGTCCCAGGAATGGGAGGAACGCAGCCTCCCTCACTCCTCAGGAGGGGGGTTTAGGCTGCAGTGTGAGGCTCTTTCCACAGCCACACACCCCTACACCTGCCAAGGAAAAGCCCTGTGGTGTACTCTTTTGTTCACTCAAGGCTTGCATGCTACAGGCCTGCAATGGCCAAGCACTTGCAAGGTGCCAGGCGCCCAGCACAAGCAGGGCGAGACACCAGACTCCTGGAGCACACATCTTCCTGGGGGAGAGGTGGGCAGCAAATACCACAAGGAGAGGATTGGTGTGTGCAGAGCTGAAAGGAGGCCAGAAGAGCAAATCAAGATGGCCAGAGGAGCCTGACTCTTCTCTAGCCAGCTCCCCTGCCTCCAGGACCAGGAGACCTTGACCCTGACACTGAGAGCGGCTGTGGTCCCATGGTCTTGAATCTCTCTGAGGCCTTAATTAACATCAGAAGTGGGTCCAGGCCGTGGCTGTACTGGTCTCTGGGGTGGCCCCTGCACTCTGCAGAGAGCTGGCCCCATTTTCCACCCTGGAGAATGGCTTTGTGGGCACGTTTGCCCCTGACAAAATACATGGTGAGAAAGGAAATGGAAAAACCTCAGTTTCGAATGTGTGGAGGAAAAAGCCCAATAATACTACGTTTTCATGCCCTCCGTCATGCAATGTTTAGTTTGTATAAGTGAACTAATACTTGCCTGGAGAGAAAAACCATACAGAACAATGACCCCTAGAGAGGGCAAGTAATACTTGTGTGCCTTGAACTGGTGGAGACATTTCCAGATTTCTCCAGTCCTTCCTCCACATGGCTTCCCCAGGGGACGGGGTTCCCTTGAGATTCCTAGGCAGCAACTCAAGTCCAGGAGACTCTCAGCCTGGGCCTCTTCTCTCTGCACAGTACTCTGAGGACTGCACTCAAACACACTTTGCTATCTTCTTGTTTTGTTGCCTGGTAGCAAGAGTCCTGCTCTGGGTTCAGACAGACCTCAGTTCAGAGCACAGCTCTAACACCTCTGAGTTATATAACCCCAGGCAGTGGGTTTGATCCCGTGGGGCCTCAGTTTCCCTGTGAACAGCAATGCTTTTCTGCAGGCTCTCACCCCAGGCCACTGGGAGCATTCCCTAAGGCAGTACCAGAAGACCTGCTCATGGGTTTGCACTCCTAGCCTCTTAGGGGTTAGCTCCAGGCCCTTCCAGCAGATTCTGATGCTGTCCAGATGGGGAACAGGGTGAGGCAGCTGCCCAGGCATGGGACAGAGAGCCTGAGGGGCTCTCTGGGCTCCCACTTAGTACTCACCAGTTATGGCAGGTTCTGCTGCCTCATCACCTGGCACCCCAGAACCAAGGGATGCATAAAAACTTTCATGATATGCATATATTCTGAAAGTCACACAGAGCTGGGGCTGGAGATGTCTTCACGTACATGCCTGGTGCTTGCTGCTGATTGGGGCAGTCAGCTGGGCCCTGCCATGCCTGTTCCATAGGTGAAGACACCCAGGCACCCAGCCTCACACAGGAAGGAAGTAGCAGAGCCAACTGCTGAGCACAAAAATGTGGACAGGTACATTGCCTGCCTCCAACACAAGAAGCAAGCAGGGGGCCAGTGTGGGCCCAGGGGCACTCTAAGCTCTATCCTGGTTACCCTGTGCACCTATGCAGTACACGTTAGCATCTGCCCTGAATGACATCCATGGCATGTCCTGCCTTTCCTGCAGACACTTGGAGTCACACACTTTCCCCACTGGTCCTCAGATGCTAGTTCCAGGTGAGAAGCAAAACTCTAAACCTGATCCGGATTAAACTGCCTCACCTCACCCTACCAGGGGCCTTCAGGCCTGGCTGCTTGTGGCAAGAGAGCAAGTGTGGCCCGCATGCTCCCTCAGCATTCTCCATGTCCCTGACTTGCTGGCCACAGCCCAGGGCAGGGCACAGTCATACTGGCTGCTACTGTCGCGGGGCACGGCGCCTTCCAGGTAGCATTCAGCACCACTATGCTTCCTCTCCTGGGCACTTGCCAGGGTTCTTCAGAGTTTCTACACGTCCTCAACCCCGCAGGTGCAGATCCTTTGCAGGGACCTCCACGGCTCCTCTGCAAACCCGCAGAATCAATTGCCTACCACTAGCTGCTGCTCAGATCCCCTCAAGCCCTCAACCCCATGCCAGATCTCGCAGGAGCTACCTTGTTCCATGGGAGGCCTTAGCCTCTCTCACGCCCACAGACCTGTGGGTGCAGGTGACTCCTGTGGCCACCACTGTCCGCTGGCTGTGGCCATCTTGGCATCCCCAGGCCTGAGCAAGACACCAGAAGCCCCTAGATTTCTAGCGGCCAAGGGGTCTCTGCTTGATGAGGAAGAGAGCAGCCACAGGCAACAGGGAAGGAGGCCTCCCCTCCTCACAGGTCCTCCTCTGGAAACCTTTCTGTCTTCAGGGTGGTGAGAGGCCTCCATGAGCTCCGGGACCAGAAAGCCAGTCACATCAGGGCCAGGCAAAGGGAGCAACACTCTAACTGCTTCTGTCCGACGAGCCGCCCGGCTGTGGCCTCACTCCTCACAGATCCCTGGTTGCCCGGCTCCCTGTGGCCTGGGAGTCTGCACCTTCAGCTGTGAGGAGAGTCCATGGCACCCTCGGCCCAGTCAAAGACAGTTGGGTGCCGTTTTTCAGAAGGAAATGAACCATAGCTTCTGTGTGGTATGGGAGATAGATCTTGGCCGGCACAGGACCTGTGAGAGCTGCACATGTGAGAAACAGAGAATGTGTGTGAACATGAAAGTGACTGACTCCCAGCTCCGCAGGAAAACTGGCTGCGAAGAGTTTCCGCACGAACAAGACTTTCTGTGCAGACCCCTCCCCTGGGCCCTGAGAGGCAGACCCAGGAGGTCCATGTCTCCGAGTCTGGGGACAGGGCTCCCTGCACAGCCAGGCAGGAAGCTGAGCCCTTTCATTGGGCAGAAGCCCACCTTGTGTACCAGACGCTCAGGTGGCACTGGCGGGAGCTCCAGGTGGCACAATTTCGTGCCCTCCCTGTCCCCATCAGTGAGGAAAGGCTTTGTCAAGAGGAGGGAAGGGCCGTGAACCCCTACCTCAGCCCAGGCAGGCGGGACTGGAACTCAAGTCTTACGATTCTGAGTTGAGGAGTTTCCCCTCTGTCACAGCTGCCTCCCATTAATTTCTGATGTGCAAGACTCGTTCCCTGTGAGCAGACCGAAACGGGGCAGCGCTGGCCCAGGGCACGGCTCGGAGGCAGGAGAAATCTGTGGGAACAAAGCTCCCAGGCTGGCCATGTACCCCTTTCAGCAGCCACGAGTGCCACACGCATCTATCCAGTGGCCTCCAAACATCAGCCCCATGCTGGATTTCTTATGCCTCACCAGCTCCCCTCAAAAACCCTGCTCCCTGAGTGAGTTCCCCTTCAGCACAAGGGGTTACTCCGGGTACCCTCCCCCCACACCCCAGCCGACACTGCCTCCTGGACACTCCTCATCCACACAGCCCATGGGCTCAAGTCCTGGCCACACTCAGTTGCTGTCTGGCAACTCCAGGTTCCTCAGAGGCCTCCGAGCCTTTGCATATGCTGGTGCTTCTGCCCATCACTGTCCATGAGGGAGCTCACACACCAGTTAGGAAGTCAGATGTCCCACAAGTCCCCTTTGGCTCTCCCCAGGGCTCTCACATGCACTGTGCACTGTCTGGCTCAGAGGCTGCTTACCTGGGCAAGTTCTTGGACTTCCCAACCACAAGCTCCACATCATGAAATTGAGCGAGCCACAGCTCCTGCATGGGGATGTTACTGTAAGGCTTAAACAACAGCGTGGGGACAAAGCGCTTTATAGATGCTCACTGCAGGTTAGCAGTTATTATCACCGTCAGCATCAGTGGGGTTACAACACTGGTGCCGCTGCCGTAGTGATTACTGCCATCCTGTCAAAGCACATGTCTCTCCTGGGTGCAGATACCTGGCACTCTCCCCTACACCTGACTAGCAGCCCTGTGAAGACAGACCGTCATCTATCGAACCCATACTGTGGCTCCAGCACCAGTGTGAGCCCCATGGGCAGGGCTCAGTAAACATTTGAGGCAGGAGGAGGGAGGGAGTTTTTGGCTTCTCCCAAGGAGGCGGCAAGACAGTATCACCATTCCTGTTCTGCCGACGCAGACTTCAGGCTCAGAGGTTGGGTGACCTTTCTGGGGCCGCTCAGCCTGCAAATGCAGACATGGGGGAGCCAGGCCTCTCTGCCTCCACAGCCGGATCCTTTGCCGTCCCTGTTCACTAGCCTCAATACAGACCACTCCGCGGCCGTTACTAGAAGACCCTGTGTTTTTCTCTCTTCCAGTCAATGAGTGGTCTATTGGTCAGTATGTGGGCTTCTTGAGAGAAAGGTAATGAAAACCAGATTTTTTCAACATATCTCGTTCCCCACAGAGACTGTCAGTTCTCATATGTTCCAATAAAACTGCTAAAGAAACAGCCACTTAAAGCGCTTTAAAGATTATTCATGGAAAAATTATGCTGAGGAAAAATAGAGCAATCCTCTGAGATAGTCAAGCCCCATGGTCAGTTTTTCCAGCTGTCCGTGCCATATCAGGCGGGCAGTGGGGGCTGCTCTCTGTCCAGGGCCCCAGCACATTAGCACCACCCCCGCCTCCCTACCCCTACCCAAGGACATGACTAACTTGCCAGCCACCCAGTGCAGACGCAGCCCCGGAAGACATGTGTCCCTGGCACTGTCATGTGGGGGCTACCCCAGGATTGGCCGGCAGGAACGTGAGGCATTTCAGTAGCAGAGGGTGTCACTTACTGGCAGAGAGGACCCTCATCTGGGTCCCAGCTGAATGGAAATTCTTCTGCTTCTGCATCAGACCCAGGCTGTTGGTCAACAATGCAGAAGGCGGGGAAGAGGGGCTGAGACCCAGGGCAGGGAGAAAAGTGTCAGCAGCGCTGACACTGCGCTCGGGGACCCGAGGGCTCTCCCTCTAGCTGGCCCGGGGCTTCTGAGGTCAAACAAACCTCCCAAGGGTCCAAAGCGCAAAGGAGAGGGGGCACATCCTGGCCTCCTTGTGGAGGAAGAATGGAGGGCTCAAGGAAGAGACCAAAGTGGGAAGCAGAGCCCGGGGGCGGGCAGGAGTGCTGACGAGGGAGACAAATGGGAACAGGACTGGGCGGGGGGAAGTGGGCCTTGGACAGCCGGCGGAGGAGCAGCACCCCTGGCTGTGCGGCCCTGGTGCACTCTGAGCCTCCCTCTAAAGTAGCCATGATGACGTACTAACTACATAGGAGCCCGTGAGCTAAGCCATGGATTGTTTCATCAGCCTGGCTCACAGTTGGTGCAAAACAGATGTCAGGTCCCTTCCTTTTCCCTTTCTCAAGTGTAGCAGTTGGGACCTACCTACTGCAGACTTCCCAGAGGAAGTGTCTCCTGCTTGCTGACTCCACACACACGATCTCTCTGTCCCCTTCCTCCTGTGTCCAGTTCTGAACCACTGGGTGCCTCCCTTGCCAGCCTTGCCAGCCGGAGAGTGCTGCACACTTGCCTCCAGCACACGGTACCTCTGTAAGCCACCGGCCTTCTCACAAACTGGGACTGCTGAGACAACCCACCTCAAGAAATACGGCACAGGCAAAAAAAACCAAGCGCCAAGTGTGCAGTGTTGAATCCTAATTATTTCTGCTGCAACTTCAGGACCTCCGGGCCTCTGCTTCAAACCACATGGGGAGGAGCAGTGCAATCTGACCTTTAGAAATCACTTTCTGCACCGGGGTGGGAGCCCCAGTGACTCAGGCAGTGGGACTATAATCCTCTCACATGGCTACTGATAAACAAGCCAGGTTCCACCCTCTGGATTCTTCCCCAGCAGTAGTGCAAAACCAAAACAAAGCAGGATGGTTTTCATTCTTCCTTTCCCTCTCTGGAGCAACTATATGAGCTGTTTCCCTGGGCCAGAACTGCCTGTGGCCCAACCAGTAGAGCAGAAGGTCTTCCCAGGCGCACCTCAGGGTCACCTGCTGAGCTTGTGCAGAATGAGTTGCCCAAACCCCCAGCAGTCAACACAGCCAGAACTCCAGGGGGGCCGCACTCTCCAGGTGGCGCTGGTAGTTCCTGTGATGAGAATCAGAGCCTCAAGGAAGCTGTCCACTGTCTAAGAAGTTGCCCACTGCGTGAGGAGAAATGCGCAGAGGAAAGCGTAGTTGTATTTCAGTCCTCCACCTCTGCAGCCTTCTGCAGCCACCCTGGGTTCACAAGGTCCCGGCCCGGGAACTTTGCTTCAGGGTCATGCCTCTCTGGCTCTGTTACTGTGGACTGGTCTATGAGGTCCTGCTTTCCAGATGCCTCCTAAAGCAGAATCGGGACACCAGTGGGCCCCTTACAGAGCAGGTCCTGGCCACCGCCAGTGCTGTCAGCGTTGAGAATGGATGATACAAGGTGGGGGTGGCAGAGGGTCGCTGATGAGCAGAGCACTATGTGCTTCTTTACACCTTGTCCCAACTATGATGACTGAGCAGGGGTCTTACCCCAAGCCCTGAGCCTGTCCCCAGCCACACCCCTAAGACCCCCGCTCTGTTCACAGGCCCTTCCGCGGGCTCCAGCTCAGCGCGCTTCCGCCGGAGACCCACCTGCCCTGACGCGTCTGTGGCCGGCAGCCTCCCCACACCACCGGTCCCCCGACACAGGAAGAGTCACAGCCTGGGCAACAAGTGGGTGACTGAGCCGCCCTCCCCTGGGGCTTCTGACTTGGCATGGGCATGAATGAAGGCATGCTGGGGAATCCCCACCTGAGGCTCGGTCCCTCCCATACCCCATCCTGGGGGCTCTTGGTGCCCCTAGCTGGCACGCTGTCCTGAGACTGGCATGAGCTCAGGATTCGCTGGTAGCACCATCCATCTGCCATCCTCAGAGGCCGCAGGCTCCGCAGCTAATGGAGAAGAGATGAAGGAAAGGGCGGGGCAGCAGCAGGGCGTTCCAGCAAACGTGCCAGGCTCTGTTAGTAGCTCCTTGTGGAGCAACCCGGAGTCTAGTGGGTGCCAGTGAATGTCCTCAGGGCAGCACTGGGTGTCTTGTGGCATCTGCACAGCAGCAAACCTGCTGGCTCACCCGCACTGGAGGGCTTTTAGCGTGGGGACATGGGTAGAGCTTAGTAGGACTGGGGGCAGCCATGCCCGCAGCCCTGGGCGTTGGGCACAGACTCCTGAACAGGTGGGTCCATCTCTCCCTCCCTCCTTTCCTGCTGCCTTCCTCCTTCCTCTCTGCCTGCCTGCCACCTCTAAGTCACCCCCCACCCGGTCCTGCTGGCCCTGAGATGTTCACAGGCAGGAGAGAGTCACTCTCTGAGTCCTCAGCCTGCTGCGCCACACACCCATGGGGCAGGAGCTCACTGGGAGCATGCAGGCCTCTGAGGTGGCAATACTATTATACACAGTGTAAGAATGAGTCCAGGGAGGGTCACAAGGCGACATCCCTTGCAATGGTGAGGAGGCGTGGGAGCCAGGACTGGACCAGGTGTGTGTGACGCCAGACCTTCTGCAGGCTCATCACTCACAAGCCTCATCTTCATCCTGGAAGTAGGCGGGGCAAGTGGCATTATTCCCCATGGATGGGTGGCGAAACTGAGGCTCCACAAAAGGATATGACTTGCCCAAGGTCACACCTCAAGAGAGGGCACAGCCTGGACACCTACATCCCGGCAGGTGCAGCCGTGATTGCTGCATGGATAAGGAGCTGTGCCTTCTTTCTTCCTTTCCATTTCCAGTATGATGTGTCAGTTGAGTGTAGTTGAGAGTAAAAGTGCGACATTCCCATCGGAGAAGGCCAGGCACCTTCTGGACGACAGTGTCCTAGAGTCCCGCAGTCCCCGCAGGGGCCTCGCCCTCACCTCCTCCACCGTCACCAATGGACTCTCCCTAGGTAAGCGTCTCCGGCCTGCACACCTCAGGCAGGAGGCCAAGGCTCAGTATGTGCTCTGTGTCTGTCTTTGTCACTGTGCCATGCCCAGTGGCACTGTCGCCCTAGGGAACCCAGTTCACCTTGCCCTGAGAGAGCTGGCCCCCTGCAGGTGTACCCTGGAGCTGGGAAGCCTTTGCTTCCTAGCCTTCTGGAATTCAGGAAGGTGCAGGTGGTTCTTATCTGGTTGTAGCCTGACTGTTCCAGGCAGGGGAAGAGGCAGCCAGACACAAGCTTGAGTCCAGAAGAGCCCCCAAAGCCCCACTGCTGGCACGATGGCATTTCTGCCCCAGAGGAGCCCTCAGCCCCAGGGCCCCACAGCGCAAAGCAAGGAACGCTTCTAGGCATAGTGACTGGGTGGCCACTGGGTCTTAACTGTGTACTTGTCTGTATGCTACAAAGCCAGAGGAGGGAGGATGGAAATGCAGTCTCCGGGGATGAAATGATGTCACTGAGCATCAGCCAGGAAGAGTGTTTGTGTCAATGGAAGGAACAGAAATTTGGCAGAAGCTGAGACTGAGGCGGGGAGATGCTGAAGTTAGGGCTGAGGCTAGGCCTGTACTCTGGTCACAGATCTGTCCTCCTGTATCCGCAGGTCAGCTGAGGGCAGGTGGACACCAGCATATGGTTACTGCCCCGGTCAGACTGGTGCCCCTCTGATGGCACCCATGTGCCTTCCCTTGTGCCTGTGCGTCTGTTATTGGTGTGTCTGTGTGTCTGTCTGCTGTCCTTATCAGGGAGTTCTCCCAGGTCTGGTGTGGACAGGCAGGAGCCATGCCGAATTTGACCTGGTGAGCACTGTAGGGCCAGGACCATGGGGGAGGTGGGCAGGAGGAAAGCAGGCAAACTCTCATGTCCTAGTCTCAGAGACTGTGGGCTGTCAGTCCAGGAGGCAGCCATCTCCACCCTTCTGAAAGTCTTGGCGAGGAAGTGCTATGCCAGCCTTCTGTCCTGGGGGCCACCCTATGTGGATGCAGGCAGTGGTGGAGGATAGCTTGGGCCAGTGCCTTGCAGGGCCCACAGGAGCCATGGCAGGGTGTGCTGGGCTGCACATGTTGGGGAGCGGCTAGGTGGAACAAAGGCGCAAAGGCTTCCTCCCCAAGACCTTGCTGTGTTCATGAGTGTTATGTATGAACCCTCTAAGACCGTGGGTCGCCCATGGACCCCTTTTCCTTGGAGTATGCAATGGGATTGGAGTTCTGAGGAATGCACTCTGGGAAAGGCAGACCCAAGAGTGCTTGGCTGAGCACAGAGCAGCTGTGTGACATCCAGGAAACTTTTTCCGCTATGCCTGAGTCCAGGCCTGCTGTTACTGAGACAAAAAACAAGTCAGGTGCTGTGCTGTCCAGTGTCCGGCTGCAAATCACAGAGTGGTTTGCTTCTGCCTCTTTAAGTCAGGGAACTCAAAATGTTTTTCTGCTTGGGGATGAAAAGCCCTAAGTAAGTTGCCATGTGTGCACATACCCTGCTTGGAGTCAGACTGGTCTGTCCCCAACACCGTGTAATGAGGACCACTGCTCAGAATGATCCGAGGGCCTGGGGCTCCTTCTTACTCACTCCCTCTGCCCAGCCTTGCTGCTGTTTCAGCCAGACAGCCCTGAAGCTTGGCGCCTCTGAGGTCTGAGGCAGTACAGAAGCAGAGCACTTGATGCTTGAGTGACAGGGGAAACACCTCTCCTTGGAGAGGCCTTGGAGAGCTCTGAGAAGCAGGTGGCCTGGCCCAGCCCTTGTCTGTGCCTCCCTGGGCCAGGCCTGTGCATGGACATCCCACCCCTCGAGGGCTCTGTCCAAAGACAGGCAGCCGCACTGAGACCAGGGCCTAGTCTAGCCTGACCTGGGGGCAGAAGCGTGTTCTTCCTTGCTTCCCCTGGACCGGCAGGGGGCAGTGGTGAAGCCACGTCAGGCCCATAGGCCTGAGGATCTGGGCCCCTCAAGCAGGTAGTACCTGGGAATGGTAGTACAGGATGGTTCTTTCTACACTCCCAGAACAGTCAGAAACAGCAGCAAAAACTTGAGTCATGTTGTCGCCCACAGGGTCAGGAAGCTGTGAGTGAGCCCAGGGTCCTGAGCCCAGTGACCCAGGAGCATAGGAGAACGGGCCTCTCTCTTCAAGGCCACTGCGCTCACTGATCTGTGTTCCTTTTCCAGGCAGTAGTGAGAGCTCAGAGTTTAGTGAAGAGATGTCTTCAGGGCTGGAAAGGTGAGTGTGGCCTCAGCGTGGCCTTGTCCTGCGGAGGTCTCAGGACCCAAGGAGCTGGAGGCGGGCTCTGGGCATGGGCCTCAGAGCGCTGTCCTGTGGCTCCTCAGCAGCGGGCAGGAGCAGTAGGGATGTGGGTGCCCTGGTCTCCATGCTGTGAGCAGCCCCACGTCTCTGGTCTGAGAGTCAGCCCAGGAGTGCTTCCTGGAGCCCCCACCCTTGGAGCAGACCTGGGAGCAGACTGGTTCTGCAGCGCGGGTTTCAGAAACCAGGAGCTGGAGTATTAGGCATTCTTGAGATGGGCACGTGGCTCCGCCTGGTGGGCTGTAGGGGTATTGCACCCACAGTCCACCACCTGCTGGACACTAGTGACAGAGGACTCGCCACCTCTGCCATGCAGCCTCAGGCACCCTTAGCCCATGGTTTAACTCCCTGTGCAGAGCCTGTCTGCCCAGGTACACAGCCTCCCACCCAGGAGTTCACCTGTCACGCAGGCTCCTGGGCCAGCACCAGGGAAGACGGGGGTGCCGCGAAGGGGTGACCCACAACTGCGGCACCTGTAGAAGAGGGCATTTTGGTGACTCAAGGTCTCAGGATAGGCAGAAGGGAGCCCAGTGATGAAGAACGTCCCAGGGAGACAGCGTGCCTTGTCCTTCGGGGTGGAGCCTCCTCCAGCATCTAGTGACCCGTGCACAGTTCCACGTGCTCTCGCACATGTTGCACACCTATCACACTCATGGTTACAGTGCTCTCACAGTGCATATACACAAGCTGCACACTCATTTACACGTATGTGCACATACATAAGGCACATGCTCACAGTTGCACTCGTGTGCACACTTGGTTGCATTTTCTAACGTGCACGAGTGCACACATGATTACACACTGTCACATGTGCACGCAGGTGTGCAACTCAGTTACACATACATACGTGCACAAATTCAGCTAGTTTCACATTCAGTTACATGTTCATATGTATATGTGCACATGCATTCACACATTGTTATACTGCCTGATATACGTGCACACAGTGCCCTCAGTTAAATGTTTTTACATGTGCACGTGCACACACCTGCACTGTTACACAGATACTCCCACAAATGCACATGCACACTTAGTTACACATCCCCCTCACATATACACATGCACATACACTCCGTACACACTCACATGTACATACACGTACACTCAGTTATATGCCATACCCAGGCACGTGTATACACATACACACTTGCATGTATACATATGCATATACACAATTACACCTACAGATGTACAGCACTGTATTGTATACATATGCATATACACAATATATACATGTATATTGCATGTATACATATGCATATACACAATTACACCTACAGATGTACAGCACTGTATTGTCTCACATACTCTACATGCACACGTGTGCATGCACACGTGTACATGCATGTGTGCACACTCACATATAGGTGAGTGTGTACCCTCACAATGTACACATGTATGTCACACAGTACACACACACATATGTTCACGTGCACTCACACTTCTGTGATGCTGAAGCTGCTGTCCCCCTCACCATAGGGTGACCAGAGAGGAGCTTGGTTCTCTACCTCTCACAGGGCTGAGCACGTCCTGTGTCCCAGGGTCTGTCTGGGCCGTGCCCATGCATGCCCGTGAACTCCCTGCATCTCCACGCAGCCATGAATATTGTCCCCCCTTTGTAGGCAAGGACAGCAGAGTTCAGCTGAAGTGACTTGCCTGCTTCACACTCATTTGACAAGGACAGAGCTGACCCACATCTACACCCTTTTGCCACCAAACACCCACTTCATTGCCCCATGCCTCAGCCAGAGGGCCAGCAGTAACATCTCTACAGGGCAGGGCCTCAGATCACCCAGTCAGTCTGTCAGTGAAACTCAAAGTGATGGCTGGGAGGGGGTCTGCCCTTGTCCCAGGATTCTGCAGAGACCTTTGGTGTTCCTTTTGGGGAGCTCAAGCAAACCGGCTGAGCTGCTCCGACTCTGGAGCCACCCCACAGTGGGAAGGAGAACCCCACAGGCCCAAGGGGCTGACTCCAGAACTCCCAGCCAATCAGGGGACTCGTGGGTATGCCCTGAGGAAGCGGGCTACAGGCCACCAAGCCAGCATCTCCCCTGACCACAGGCCACCAAGAGGACAGCAAATGGGAATCTCCAGCCAGGGTGAGAGCCAGAATAGCAACCGCTCCTGGACTGTTCACTCATTCATTCTTCCACTTGTTCATTTCTTCATCCACTCATTCATGCATTTGTTCATTTTGTAGCTATTTATTAAGCAGCTGCTTCCTGCCAGATACCATGCAACCTGCTGAGGGTGTAGTCTGTGTGGTTCCCATTAAGTGCCGTGATTGAGCTTAGACTAGGAAGGAGGAGGGTGAGGGTGAATTCATTGCTGCAAGGAGGCAGCGCTGTGTCCAGTGCATGAACACCGTGAGCTACCATATTTTAAAGCATCTAGACCACTGTCCGAGTGTGTGGAGCAGGTGCTTTTGGGTGGGATTTCTGAGCACTGGCTTCCCAGTAACTAACTGCAAATGCCCAGCCCTGCCTCCAACAGCTCTTAACTGTTGCCTGCAACAGCCCTGCGGGAGGGTGTCCTGCTTCTCATTGTCTGGGGCACTTTTCGTATTGTCTGGGGGAATTAGCTCTTGGCCCATGACCTCCTAGATGTGGAAGACAGAGGCCACTTGCTTCACAAGATGCCGAGGGTACAGTGAAGACCCACTCCCATGCAGGCCTGACTATCCAACACCAGCTGCCCCCAGCCTCCTGTCCCTATTTCCACCCTGCACCAGTCTCTGCTCTTGTTCCCGGAGAATCCATTCCCTGGAAAGCATGTGAGCATTCCAGTCTTTCCTGCAGACTCTGCAGGAGCACAGGGGGGAGTTACCTCTCATTCCTCACAGCTGAGTCACCATCATGTTGCCTCCTGGGTCTCCTTTATGTTTGACCTTTGAGCAGCCTCCCTGCGCTCCATCTGTGCCTGCTCTTTGAAGGGGAGTGGATCCCTGGGTATCCCTCTGTGCCCTGGGACCAGTGTCTGCCCAGAAAGACCTCCCTGCTCAGTGGTCCTCCAGCTGTCCTCACAGCTGCTGTGTGATCACAACTTTCTCTCTATTGTCTCACCTGCTTGAGCAGATAAAGGGGTGCACCCAGGGTTACAGGTTCAAGAGAGGGCCAGGCTAGGGTCTCCTTCAGCTCTCAAGCTGAGAGGCATGACCTTTGATGGACCTGCCCTAGTAAAAGCTTGGCTCAGGCCAGGCAAAGAAGTGAGCCAGATGCATAGCAAAGTAAAGGGCAGGGAGACACAGCTCTTCTGGTTGAGCACACATCTGAATCACTGTTGATGCCACCAGAGACAGCTGGCAGCAGAGTTCCCGTTGTCTGCGCTTATTTGACCCCATCTTGTGAGTTTACCTGCCCCAGGTTTACACACATAAATGTCAGTGCCCGGGCTTGGTTCTTCATAGTCAGCCAGACCCAGGCCACATGTACCCAGTGTGTCTCTAAAGTGGCCAGCATCAAGAATGCCCACATCACCAGATGTGGTGGGTGTGCTTGTAATCCCAGCTGAGAGGCTGAGGCAGGAGGATTGCCACGAGTTTGAGGCCAGCCTGGGCTACATAGTGAGTTCAAGGCCAGGCTGAACTACATAGCAAGACCCTGGATCAAAACAAACCAACCAACCAAAACAAAAAACAAAAATGAGGGCCCACATCGGCTCCCACTGGAGCTGTGGACCACTGAAGAGGGACTTACCCTACCCATCTGGGACTGTAGAGTAAGGGTGCAGAGAGCAAAGGGAGTCACCCTGCTGTCCCCATATCCACAGAGCCCTGGCAAGGCCAAGAGACTGTGGGTTGAGGAGGGGCAGCCAGGCAGGGAATATTAGTCACTTATCTGGTCCTTCAGGGCCAGAATGAGGACCAAGTGGTGGCCTGGGCCAGAGTCCTCATGGCCGGGGAATGGTGGGGTGGGGTTTTCCTCTGTGACTTTACCACGCCGCTTGCCCCAAGGAGGGGAGGAAGGGGGCCTCGAAAGGGCCTGGGGCTTGCCCTGGGTTGGGCTCCAGCCATCAGATTCCAGGACGCGAGGCAGGGAGGGCCTGGCAGGCGAGAGCAGCACGCACCGAGGGCTCCTTGGGCCTGACGTAAAAGGCAGGTGTTGGCACATGGCAGGACCAAGAGCATGGGTCCCAGGGACAAAATATCTTTGAAGAGGAACAAAATAGATTATAAAAGTAGCTGTATGAAAATACATACTGCACTGTCATTCATCTTGATAATTTGGCTTCTAGGGTTGTTGAAGGAGGTTTTATTCCCCTCAGATTCTCCAAATTTTCCCCAGTGAGTAAATGTTTTCTACTCCAAAAGAAATTAGCATTTGATTTTTTTGAAAGAAGACATCATCAAAAATGATTACTGATCAGTTCTGAAGAAGCAAAATAGGAAAGTGTGTCGCAGAGTGCATTGCAAAGCCCTCAGCCGCCTGTTTCCCCAGTATGACAGTGCCAGCCCTGTGGAAGTGTCCTCTTGTGTGAGATCAGACTATGAAAGGGTTGGTGGAGAGAATAGGAGAGAAAGGGCCTCAGGGGTCCAGGGGCAGAGGACGCCCTTCAAGTGGGACGGGGAAGGGGAGAGAGCAGGCAGCACGTAGCCTCCTCTGAGGCAGAAGGGTCCTGTCCTCCAGGGACCTGGTTAGAGCTCACTGAGCCAGGAAGAAGTCAAGCTCGCTGCACAGAGGGCCCTGGCACGGTTGGATAGGGCACAGTGGTCATCCGACAGAGAGCTGTGTGGGCTGCAGGTTCGGGGTGGGTTTTGGCGGAGGTGGCAGCTAAGGTCCAAGGGCACTGGCAAAGAAGACCCTGGCAAATTCTTGGGAGAGTGTCCGGGGGGGCCTGTGAGCTCTGAGCCATGTCCCGGATGGGAGAGGTGGCCCAGAAGCGCTCAGTGTCTCTAGGAATCTCATGTGGCAGAGAGAGGT